CCTTTCATCGACTGTTCCCCAAGAAAGAAGTCCGCCCAGCCTTCAGAGCCCTCGCGCCTGGTACATATTTCCAAAGCTCTATCAGTCTTGGATTCCGATCTTCAGCACATCGTTCCCGCCAGCTCTGCCTTCAGTCATTCCATAATTTCACAGCCCTTGGCTGGTGACGTGACGACGACACGAGATACTTACCCCGCCAACTCGCGCTCGCTAATCGTGCAACCTCAACCTCTGTTCCAACCGACCGAGCCCCCAGCGTTTTCTCGAGTTCAGAGGTCCGCGCGCGACGCAATTCACTTTATCATCCACGACCTAGCGTGCTTCGGCTATCAGCGCCCAGCTTCCTGGACATTCACGGCGGTTTTCGTGTGCACCCGCCGAGATGCCGGGCTCTAGCTTCTCCGATAACCCTCTCCTTCGGGTATCGCGGCCCGTATCAGCATGTTCACGTTGTGAGTCTGCGACGTCCTCTTCCCCCAGCTGCTACTTCAAAGCCGCATATACTAACCCACGTCATTCATACAGGTCGAGCTGCGAAGGTGAAGGTATGTGATGACGACTTGTTTGCATCTGGGGTCTTCAACCGAGCTAATCTACTTCCTTGCCATAGTGCGATGGCAAACTACCTGCATGCACCGCTTGCGAAAAGGCCGGCCGTGAAAGTGAATGCTCTAGTGCAAATGATCAATTCGCTCGAGGAAAGGAAAGGAGGTTCGTCGTCCCCACATTGACCTCGACATGCGTTGTGGTGTGAGACTGACAAAGGAATAGCTACGTTGCTGCTCTGGAACTCAGGGTCGAGAAGCTTGAACGTCGGTTGGCTTTTGCCAGGCTGAGAAAGGCTTCTGTCAATTTGCATGAGCCTGATGACTTGACCACCCAATATGACCGCAAAGACTCCTTGGCGAAGATCCGTGCCGCAATTCACCGCAAGGCTGCTCGGCGACGTGAGGACTCGGATATCAACTCGCTCGTCTCTGACTTTGGCTTCATGTAGGTGCCTCAACTTGCGTCTTGCCTGAGCCTCACTTACACTTTCCAGGTCGGTAGACGCCACGTCGCGCGACTTCGAAGTCGACGTCAGTAATCTGACTTTTGGCCGTTTCGTCCTCGCCGCCTCCACCAATGAACTAACCCCAGAGCCTGCAGAGAAGAGCCTACCGCCGCGGCAAGAGGCTCTGACCATGGTCCAGTACTACATGGCCAACATCTTCTCTGTTGTGCCGGCCTTCTCTGAGACCAAGCTTTTGACTGTACTTGACGATCTTTATCAACAGGACGATCGTGTCATACAAGACTCGGATTACTGGCTAATTTACCTGGTGCTTGCCATTGGGTATGCAGCTCAAAGCAGAGAACGGGAGGACTCATACTATCTCAGCGCGGTCGACTTTGTTGGGCGCGCTCTTCCATGTGCCGATGGCGCCCTGGGACCTGGAAGCATCACGCAAGTGCAGTCTCTCATACTGCTGACGCAATACTCCATGCTCGATCCTGTTCACTTCGACAGTTGGTATCTGATTGGCTTCGCATGCCGCGCTGTCATTGACATGGGGCTTCACCAAGATCCCGTCCAGAGCCAGATCACTGATGCTACTGCGCTTGACACGCGGAGAAGAATATTCTACTGCGTGTACTCGCTAGACAGGTAAGTTCTCCTTACACAGGGATCGCTTGATTGTCATCGGTCTGACCAAAGCACAGGGCCATCAGCATGACGCACGCGCGGGCATTCAGTTTCACCGACGAATCCATCAACGTCGCATACCCCAACAGCTCTGGACAACGCAACGCAGGCCGGGACTCCGTTGCGCAGGGCCTCGTCGCGGGACCTCAGGATGCGGACCCGGCTCTGTTCCTTTTCGAGTTCCGCCGCAAACAGTCACACTGGTACCAGATCCTGTTTCAATCGGAACCCAAACCCCTTCACGATGCTGCTTCATTCATCTGGCAAATGTGTCTCGACATGCGAGAGTGGAATGAGTCGCTACCAACGACCCTATCGGCACCCATTCGGGATCTCTTTGACCTTGATCTTCGCTACAGCTACGTCTACTGCCTTGCTCCTTCGGCCCGCGCACCAAACATCACCCCATACACCCGAGCTCTCATCTTTGAGCACGCCATCGCCTACGTAAACGCCATCCACGGCGTCGTTCATCACCCAACACCAAGCCATACTGCCTACTACACCTATCACGACGTGTTGAAACTATACTTCATGGCCACCCAGCTCGTTACTGTTCTCAACGATGGCGCCGATGCCCTGCTTTCTGGTGTATTACCACAGGCACCTCTGACACGCCCTGGTGCTGCACCGCCGCCGCCTCTGCCACGCCCGCAAAACCCAAATGTGGACAAGGTGTCTCAGAGTCTTCGGTGTCTGCAACAGGTCGTTGAAACCTTGAAGAAATACGGCGAGAGATGGGAGAATGCGCTGCCACTGAAAGATAACTTTGAGATCATGTCACGGGATCTTTGGTCGTGGTTGAAGGCTCGCAAGCAAATGATAGAGCAGCGACCGCATCAAAGCCCTCAGCAGCAACAGCACCAGCAACATCAGAGTCCCCAGCAACAGCACCAGCAACACTTCCAGGCGCAACAGCAACATCAAAGTCCTCAGCCACAGCAACAGTTCCAAGCGCAGCAGCAGCATCAAAGTCCTCATCAACAACAACAGCAGCATTTCCAGTCACAACAGCACCATCAAAGTCCTCAGCAACAGCAACAGCAACATTTCCAGGCGCAGCAGGCCACTCAGGCCATGGCTCACGGAAACGGAATGCAGCAGATGCCCGGAGTCTTACCCCCTGGGGCCCATGGTGGACAGCAATATCGATGGGCCTGACGGATGTCACGTAGAAGGTTTGCTACAGACGGCAGAACGGGCAGAACTTGGAGGCGGATTCGGTTACTCTGAAACATATGTCAGCGGGTTTGGGATGGAGTTTGCGTCTGGGAGTTGAGGGCGGACCCGGACATGGCGACGAGATCTGTAGGTTACTGGAACGACCTGCGATTTGTCCATTTCGGTGTGTCAATGAGAGTTCCAGTATTTTCGCAAGATCCAATCCTTGACTGTATTTCTGTTTACAGGTGGAGGGGTCAGCAAATGGGGCCCTAGTGGATCAACGTGACCTGGGATGACATTTCAAGACACGAGCCGACACAAGCATTGTCCCCTGACCGGGGCATCTAACACACGGTGGCTTTCAAGACCTCCACGGTCTGTGCTGTGTATGGGTCCCTAATCCTTTCCACTGGATGCCTACAAGCGAGCCACGGAGGGGTTTCCATGTACCGGGCACGGTCGCCGCCTTCCTCTTGACTCGGAGACCGATCATTGCAAGAGAAATCGTGGAGTCTCGTTCCTGGGACCAAAGCCCACTCATCGTTCCCCCATCGCGGACACTGCGGCATCTTCAGGTAACGGAGGCGGCTCCCTCCGTGTAGAAGGTTGCTTCTGCCGTCTTTGGTGCCATTTCCGAAGGTCGAAGCACAATCATAGGCCAAACTGTGGCTTTCGGATATTCTGGATGGTGTCAGTTTAGATCGTCAACACACTGTGGTCGTGGCTCAAATGTGGCACACCCTTTTCTTTGGATCGTATCGATGATCTTCACGGAGTACTTGGTAAGCTGCTCGATGGCCGGGATCGTAGACCCGTGCGAAGCGGATGTTGCAGGGCCGAGGTAGTCTGCTATTTGTTAATTAGAAATTCAACTATCTGGTTGTTGAGGGGAGAAGGGTTCCATGCGAACGTAGTTGGGAAATTTGGGGACGTGAAAGTTCAGGCTGCATTTGGACACCAATACTGGTTCAACTTAGCCCTCTTCCGCCCGACAATGAGAAGACGCGGGGTGTACGAGTGGTCGAAGATGGTTGCGCAGATGATGGCATCCGATTTCACTTCCGTGCCGTCACGGAAATTCACGGAGTCCTTGGCCAAACGTCGAGGAGTCTCCCGTGAGCCCTTCACGTGGTCCTGGGACAGGGCCTGTAGATACCTGACACCTTGCGTTGGGTGGACCACCTGCCACCTATCAATGTAGTTTATGGTTCAAGTCCATTGGCGACATTTATATTCGGTATCCGAAGTGAAATAAAGGAATCAGCCTCTCCGCTAAGTCGGGCTTCTCTGCAAGGGTAGTGCTCATCATTCTCCGTATAACGGCTTGCTCTGGGGAGCCCTTCATAAGAAGTTCTGCCTGTTACTTCTCGACACCTTCCACATTTCAACGAGGACTCGATATTGAAGCTTAGGCCATCACTCATAATCTTGGATAGGATTTAATAGAAGTATACGCTTTTTTTGTTCTCCGTTCATGCTCCCTAGGATGGGCTGTCTCCCAGGATGGGCTGTCTCCCAGGATGGGCTGTCTCCCAGGATGGGCTGTCTCCCAGGATGGGCTGTCTTCCTCGCCACTCTGCTAAATCCTGCTAGCCGGGGAGAAGAAGAACAAAGTAGTAAGCTTGGCGGCGCCTACTCCGGGGACACTATTGTCGTATCCACCAGGGGAGACAAGGAGACTGGTGATGCTTTCCTGGTTTACCTTTCGTAGCCGTGCCAGAGTGCATACTGGAGCCCATGCTCTAGACCTCCGCCCCAGTCCACATCATAGCCCACACCGTAAACACTGTATCAAGGCCAAACTGCGCAAACGGCACCTTGGCGACATCGACTTCTCTAAATCCAAGGCCTGTGTACAATTTCCTCCCAGCAGGAGACGACTCCAGGAAAGCAGGCACACCAAGGCCCGCAGCCCTTTCCAACCCCCATTCCATGAGCTGCTTCCCGACGCCCCGGCCCTGGTGGTCCGGATGCACGACCAGCACAGAGAGGTCTGCAACACGTCAGCGACTTGGCACAAGACCTCGTTTCGCAGTGCCAAGCGGCACCTCAATTGCCAAGAAAACTCACAAACACAAGCCTTGCCGCTAAAGTTCGCCTTCCGCAGGCCATCAATCGCACCGAGCATCTCCGTCGCAGCCGCAACGTGCACGCCGGGACCGAAAGTACGCGGCTCGGGCTCCGGCATGCTCTTGCCATAGACGAACCACCGCGCATAGCCCACGAGCGTCTCGGAGCCCTCGTCGTCGACGTCCCACGCCGCGAAGATGCGGCACCCGTCGTTCTGTATGGCGGCGGACAGCGCCTGGGCTTTCGTCTCGGCGCGGTCCTCCGGGAACGGGCCGGGAAAGACGAGCGAGTGGAAGTCGCTTGCGAAGGCGGCGAACTCGACGGTGCTGCAGCGCTCCAGTGTGGAGAGGTCGAGGGCGGCGACTGGGCGGACGGAGATGGCCATGGTGGGCGACGTGATGGTGGACTTGCCAATGGCAGATGCAAGAGGAAACGTCGGTTATCTGCTCTGGAGGGTATGGAGCGATGAGTGGGTATATTTCTGCCTGAGACGTTCTGAAAGACCTTCTGCGTGCCGGGTAGCTGGACGTCGAGACGGGCACTGGGAGAGGGGCTTAGTGGGGCTAGAGACGATCTAGAGCTCGATCATGTTGGCAGCGGTTTGGGACTATGTCAAGTCGAATGACACAGCCAGCAAACAAAAAGGCTTCTCAGCCACTCTGAAAGACGATACTGTCAGTAACAGATAAGTTTTGGTCCAACGATGGCTTCCCCTTCAAGCAAACCATAAAATGGTGATGTGAAAATCCCGCTGCAAGGGATGATGCATCGCGCTTTGAGTCATCGGAGGCGGCCATCCATTCCAAAGTCCGGTAATCAAAGAGAACCACAAACACAGACTTGCAAATCAGAGTTCAAGAATACAATGACACAAGTTCAATTGAAAGTCATGCGACAAATCTAATGATTAGGCTCGCGACGCTGTCTGAAGAAACACACTCTGCCGCATCCTCCCATTAAACGGTCTGCTTGCGAGCCTCGGTCTGCTGCACCTCCGAGCCGTCCTTGAGCTCGGTGACGGGGGCAGTGCTGTCGGCTCCGGCATAGTGGGGCTCGCCGTGGAGCATGTCGGCTCCCTTCTCGGTGTGGTTGGCGCCGCCGAAGATGGTGTCGATCTCCTCGAGGGGGATCTGCTTCGTCTCGGGGATGCAGAAGTAGACGAAAACTCCCAGGACAAGGTTGATGGCCATAAAGAAGAAGAGACACTTGAGGCCCTCGTTCTTGAGGAAGGTGGGGAAGAACTGCTGGAAGATGGTGTTGGCGACGTTCTGCATCTGCGAGCACATGCCGACGGCCTGGGCGCGGACGTTCATGCTGAAGACTTCGCTGGTGTAGATCCAAGTCGTGGCTCTGTTTCCGATTGGTTAGCATATTGCTGCAAGAGAACGAATTGCCCAGGAAGCTGAGTGGACTTACCCCCAAGTAGGCTTGTAGAAGAAGGCGAAGAGGAACAGCATGAAGACGATGGAGATGCCGACGGGCTCAGACTTGACGGGCTTTCCGGTGGGCGACAAGTGGTTCGGGGTCTTGAGGCCAATAATGGGGACGATGAGCATGCACATGGCCATACCAGCGGAACCAACCATGAATAGCCAGCGGCGGCCGAAGCGGTCAGAAGTCCACATGGCGTTCAAGGTGAAGAAGATGGCAAAGGTGGCGTTGAGGGCGTTGATCAGGTTGATGGTTGTGTTGTCGCTCCAGACCTGCTTGTAGATCGAGGTGGAGTAGGTGTTCAGGGTACCCTGGCCGGTAAGCTGCTGGCCAACATTCAGGCACGAGCAGAGCAGGAGACGCTTGCGGATGGAGGGGTCCTTGAACAGGGCAGTGTAGCTGATGCCGCCAATGGCCTCCTTCTCGTACTCGATGGCGCTGCGGATGGTGTGGAGCTCCTCCTCAACCTCAGCCTCGGTGGCACGGATCTTGGCGAGAGAAGCACGGGCGCCCTCGATATTGCCGTTCTTCTGGATGTGCCAGCGGGGGCTCTCGGGGATGAACATGATAGCGATGCAGATCAGAGTGGGGATCATGGCCTGGAAGATGACAACCATCTTCCAATCCCACTCTCCGAGGCTCTCGCGGTGCTTGGAACAGGCGAAGTTGATCCAGTAAGCGATGAAGCTACCGACAGAATAGTTCATCTGCCAGATGGTCATGACCATACCACGAATGTTCGCGGGGACGACCTCGCCGATGTAGACAGGGGCAGCAGTGAGAGCGAGACCTTGACCAATACCGATGATGACACGGCCGACAATGAAGACAGAGATCTTGCCCTCTACACGAGAAATGTCAGCCATCAGTTGACAAGAGTGAGGAGACAAAGAATGCGCAAGCGAAGAAACTTACTGGGGCGTGAATGTCTGCATCATGGTGGCAATGATGGTAAGGGCGCAGCCGATGAACATGCCCCAACGACGGCCGAGGTAATCGGCGGTGGGACCACCGAGGAAGAAACCAGCGACAATGGCACCGATGGTATAGGATGTGTTGACTGGAAGTGAAATTAGTTGTGGCTCTTCAATAGGACATCGAAACAGAAAACGTACTCAAGCCGATCATTTGCGTATTCTCCCTGTCCAAGCCCCACCCACTCGAACCAGTTGTCGGATCCCTGAAGGGAGTTGTAGACGGAGGCATCGTAACCGTAGAGTACCATGCACAGGGCCGCAACTACGGCAACGTACAGGTTGTACCACCTCGTAGCGTGAACCATCTTGCCGGCTTGATTCCTCTTTGTCGAATGTGTGAGGTGAACTGGAGGAAGACTGTCGACACAGTGAGAAGGGATGAAGATCTGGAGGGCACGAGATGGTGCAGATGGATGGAAGGGAGGATGGGGTTTTAAAAGATTGTCGATCGAGACACTGCAGTCCCATCCAGGAAGTCTCGATGCGCTACCAGGGCCGCATCCTTGGACTCATGGCCACCTTCACCCCTGGCCAACGCTAAGACGGGAAGGCAGAGGTGGACAGACGGGCGTACTGGTGGGTGTGGGTGGTTTCCGGGGGAGTGGAGAGGAGAGCGAGAGAGTGAGCCAGACCCTCGCCCTCTCTCGCGCGCGTGACTTGCCTTCTAAACAGCACCGGGGCGTAAGAAGCATAGAGACATGATAGTGAGCTGGGTCCAGGAGGCCGGCCAGACCCTGGGAGGTGCCGCAAGCGAGAGGCGACACTTCACGGCGCACCCCGGACTAGTCCCTGGGTTTCCCCTCGCCATGATGGCATTCCTGGGGCTCTTCTGGGGCAGACTCCACGAGTCATCGTGGGAGACGGGCCACGGGAGCCGCAGGACGCGGAGAAACCATGAAGAACGAAATTCCGCCAATGGGCAATTCACCTCCGAATGCCGGGGGTCGAAGAACAGAGTGGGTGGAGAAAGGTTTAATTCTGGAGCTTGATGTTCAGGCGACACGACGGCGGCAAGACTGAGCCGGGAGACGGCACGAGAGTGTGTGTGTGGCCGAAGAATCGAGCGTTCGCGCACCTATCATCCACCCACCGTAACAGGCATCGGCTGGACCGTCAGTGATAGGGCGGGGAGAAGGGGGGAATGAGGAGAATGCATGCTCGAACAGACCAGCGGGTGGTTGGCTGGACGGCTCCGATCCTTGGCCCTGTCTGCAGCTAAGCTCAGGGGAGACAAGCTCAATGGAAAATGGCAAAGGCGAGAGACCAAAACCTTGTTTGCGAGTCATCGAAGATACACTGCAGTGCCTGTTGACAAAATCCGGTCTCTCTCTCTTAAAGAATACCAGATGTGCCGTCATCGTTCGCGAAGCTCGTGATGGAGCAGATAGGTTATCGTTTCATCGACTCGCCAGACTCTGAAGTGTCCACCTCCACGGTGGATGAGCGGAGGAAGATCCCCCCCAACTTTGGAGGTCGAGAACTGTCGTCGATGAGGCTGTTTCGGGACATTATTATGGGACCCTTACTCCCCGCACCCCTTGCTCATCTTGGCCTGCAGCCGCTTGTTGTGCCGACTCCCGGGACCCTTGACAGCGACTGGCCAGGGTGTGGGCGGGGGAGGGTGTAGGAAGAGACACGTGCGTTGGTGCGCCAGAGAAGGAGGAGAGGGGGATGCTGTTGGCCTGAACAAGCTCCGGCGAGGATGGACAATATTGGGAGGAAAGATGAGGAGGATGAGGGCCCATGGCAGAGCTGGGACAGAGTGAAAGGATAGAGAGAAGGAAGGCTGTTGGAATCGATGTGACTAAGCACGTGACAAAACCGCTGCAACATCCAGCCTGGCCAAATCACGAAGCAGGCAGGTTCCAGGCATTCGAGACCGCCAGCACAAACACCAATTCTGCATCCCAATCAGGCAATGCCGCTTTTCCCCTCCTCACAGGCCGCGTGGCCGCCTGCCACCGGTGTCTGGCTTCAAGTGCATCACGTACACGCCGCACTCGCACGCTCACAAGCCATTCAACTTTGCCAGACCAGACAGCGCCCACACGCTTGGCATTCTCCTGTTCTCGAGCTTTGGCCACCTGCCAGCAGAGCACCTGAATCCTCTGTCCAACGAACACCACCCTCGCTCTGCCCTACCGAAACAACTTCCTGTGAAAACGACACATGCGCCACGCAGCAGACAGGCGATCGCGTCTTGGCATTCGGGGCCGAACGACGCCCAGCATCACTCCCGCGTGAGCCATCCTTCCCGTGCGCTTGGGAGGGCTGCAATCTTGGCAAATCAGCCTAAAGCATTCATCTCCATGCCAAGAGATGAGGCGGCTGTGGCTGGTCAGAGCCTGGGACCTGGCGTCCACGCAATGTCGAAACTACGCGTGTTGGCTGCTGTAGGCGTCTCGGCAGACGACCAAGCTACCCTGACCATTCTCACACGGGGAGGGGGAAAGACCCATGGTTTCCCTCTCGCCCGACATCGACATCTGGGGCAAGATTTGGAGGACCACGAGCGTCCCTAGCTTCGCGTATTGCTAGTTGGCGACACCCTCTTTTGGCTTCTGGGGAGGAATACCAATTGGTGGAACAAATGGGTGCTATAACCGTCCCCCGGCACCGCGACATGTGGATGTACGAATGGCTCCATAACGCCAAAACCCGACGGTTCCCATTTATTATGTGGGGTGTTCCGACGGGGCAAACGGCAAAAGATGGAGAGAGCGAAGAGACCCCAACAACACCCCTGCCTACCTGCGCGCGCCTTGTGACTCTAGGAAAGTTCGAGTGGGCATAGCTCGTCGTCGACCTTGGGTTCCTGTCTCGTCATACAGTATCGATGACACCTCGCTGCCACAGCTCTGGGATCTGGGTCAGTTCGTGCATCCCAAAGACACTATTACGTTTCCTCACCAGCGGGCTGGGACAATGCCATGCCATCTTGGAGTACCGGAAGTCAAAGCTCACCACTGGCTCTGGTGCAGGGATTTGTGAAGGTCTTGTCCAACTCGCCCAGTCGAAAATCGTCACCCACGCCCTCGAAGCCTCCCTGTCTCGCCCAATATCCCTCCATCATCTCGGTTATGGATCTCATACTTGGCTTTTTCAGTTTTACAAAGCAGACAAATGATACCGGTACTCGATCACAGATGGCTAAGGCGCCAATAATCTGGGCGATTCCTGGCGCCCGGCCAACAGGAACCAGACTCTGGCCATGCAGCGACTATACGCCCTATCCGGCATACCAAGCCGGTACAAGCATTTCAGCTTTACATCGTACTTTAAGCCTAGTCTCGATCTTGGTCCTGGCATCGGCCGAGCCGTCTTGGGGTGTCGGCACCTCGTCGCTGTTCGTTGTCAACAATTCCAAACTTGGCCTCTGTGGCTGACCAACCGGGAATCACGGCACGCATGTAGCCAAACTCATATCCGAGCAACCCCCTTCACGGAACTGGGGAATCGATCAGTCCTGTACGTTATATCGGCCGGCAGGCAGGCGATGCCATTTTCCACGAGTCCTCGACGCCGATTTGATTTCCTTGCAATGCCACAAATCTCTACCGGATGTTCATACGAGGATCGCAATGATGGTTTAGTATGGGTGAACTTGAAGCGTCCTCCCGAGGAAGCAAGCCGCGATCTGATCACCTGCTGTCAACTTACAACTCACTTGCTTCTACCTGCATTGGATCTACCTATCGACTTCTTCAGCGCGAGTTAAAGGGTCTGTACGATGCAGATACCCTATTCAGCTGCAAACTAATGCTGCATCGACCAAGTGTTATGCTTATTTGCTGCAGCGCAGACAGGTCACCCGACGCCCATCCCTTTTGGTCTTAGCAAGGTGACACGCGTCCCTCGCGCATGGCCTCGATCAATGTTTCCCGTTAAAAGCAGGCCGTCAAGTCGTGTGTCCCTTCATTTGTGCAGTGTGCATTCGCCCTAGCTTCGAGGCAAGGGATGAGGGGTCAGGAGGCTGTAAGCTTCACGGCCCCTGGTCCGAATCTGGAGTGGCGCCTGATCCTGGGCTGCATGAGCTGAGTCACGGCTTGCTAGCTGTTGCATGGAGGTTTGGCGCTGAGTTGACATCTAGACATTGCACAGGCCGTTTAGCCAGAACTTTTGTCTTTTTCAAGTCATCAGTTCGATACTCTTGCTCCTTTGCGCGAGCTGCGCTACGAACTCAAAGCACTGACGTCCGCCTATCCAGTCATTTCGCGAGGAGATCGATAGAACGATTCGAAAGCTAATGTTGTGTTACAAATCATTGACAAAAGTTGGCTATTTGATGCTGAATTGCAGAACAGCCGCGAGTTCATACTTCAGCTCATCTCTCGGGTCATAGACTGGGACTCACTGCTGGATCAAATTTCAGGAGGATACGTACGGGGGGCTGAAGACAATATCGCAGGATGTTGATATCAGCAGCCTCAGTAAAGATGTACAATCCTCCACCAGCAGGCCGGCCATCTTACGATTTGACATTGACTAGCTTTGTCTATGACTGATAGAAAGAAGATGGAGACTCTAGGCCAAAGTAATGTCTGATTTGATGTCAGGGGATATTTTATACCGATATTGAAATAGAGGCTCTCTCAAGGCAGTGCCACCAGAAATTCCAATTTCTTCAGCTCCTCTATCATTCTAGATTTTTTATCAACATAAGTAGACAGAAACCACGGCGTCTTTCATCACAGCGGACATAAAACTTGGCTTGTTCCACAAGAATTGTTTGCAATATTGACTGGATGATGCAATGCACTGTTGTGGGTCATCAGAGCAACCTGAAGTGTGGAACGCCCGCAAGGCAAGCTAATTTCATGTCCGAAATAGGCTGCACATAAAGAATCAGGATCTAGAGAGCCTACAGAGCTCAGCCCCCTATACTCAGAAACAGCAAGGTCTTTCGAACATCTCTCGTGAGCGCGGTGAGTACAGCAAAACAGGTATCATTCAGAGCTGGGATACGTCAGCAGGCTCAAGATCTCTGCAGGTTACTGTAGAAAAGAAATGTCACGGGATTTCATCAACATGTGATCCGTAGCTGATGTTGAAAGACGCACAAGATTCATACATCATTCCAAGTGAACCTCATTATATGAGTTTATAAAGGGGTTTGGGAGAGATCTGATTCCATTCTTCTCCAGCAAGCCGGACCAAGTCTCAAAGTACCGCCCCGACGCTTTGAATTATCCGTTTTCACCCGCCCACCCTCCCAGTTCGCTCATTTCTCGCCAATGAGCGCGAGGATGACATTCTCGTAATCTCCGCTCAGCATTTCCTTGACATCCTTGGCAAACGGCCGGCCGTACTTGGCCTTGTACGCATTCTTCGCGGCATCCAGACGGCTGCGGTCCCAGTAGAGGGAGACGACGCGGTTGATGAAGAGCGTGTCCTTCCTCTTTGACTTGAAGAGCGGTTCGCGCAGCCGGGCGGCGTCGGCGCGGGCGCGGTCCTGGGCGGCCTGGACGAGGTTGAGCAGGGCGTCCTCCATGTCGCCGCGGAACTCCTTCTCGATGACCTCCTGCATGTTGCGGTGGTACTTGCGGTTGTAGGCCTCGGCCATGGCGTGGATCTGGGCGGGGCTGCTGCTCGTGAGGACCTGGGCGACCGAGACGGCGTTGACGCCGATGGTGCCCTCGGTGGCGCGCTGGAGCTCGGTGACCTTGGCGTCAATCTCGGCCGGGTGGACGGGCGTCGCGTCCTCGGCGCGGTGGCCCGCGAGGACCATGCTGTAGAGGCGGAACAGCGTGTCGTCGACGTCATTCTTGATGTCGGTCAGCAGGTCGCGGCTCTTGATGCGCTTGTACTCGGCGACGATGGCGCGGAGGTCGGCGTTGGAGCGGTTGAGCAGCACGTCGTTGAGCGCGTCCTCGTCGGTGCCCATGCGGTTGAGGGCCTTGTCGAGCACGCGCGCGTCGTTCTCGAGCGGGCCGCGCAGCAGCGCCAGCAGCGTCGTCTCGAGGTCGCCGCGCGTCTCGCTCTCAATGTCCTTGGCGAGGTCGCGGATGAAGCGGCTGTTGTAGTCGCGCACGAGCTGGGCCATGGTCCAGGGGTTGGCGTACTTGGGGCTCGTGAAGACCTTGATGAGCGCCTTCTCGTCGCACCCCATGCCCTTCATCGCCTTGCGCACAGTCTCAATGTCGGCCGACGTGTCGACGGGTTGCACCCAGGCCTTCTGGGCCGGATCGTACCCCGGCGAGGCGGGTGTCGGCTGGACATTGTAGGCGCCGTACGGAGCAGCACCGGGCGGCGGCTGACCCCATTGCTGAGGAGGCTGTACGCTGGGTCAGTACTGGTTGTGCAGATGATTTGATCGCAAAGGCATTTGAGGGTGACTCACCGGAGCACCTGCGTATTGGGGTTGTTGCTGGTTCGGCGGCGGCGCCTGGCCATATGGTGGCTGCTGCTGGTACTGTCCATAGCCTTGCTGAGGAGGCGCGCCATGCGGTGGTGGAGCGCCGTATGGCGGCTGCTGCTGCTGCTGTTGGCCGTACGGCGGTTGACCTGGCTGCCCTGCTGGAGGCGGATGTTGGCCGTAGTATGGCTGCTGTTGCGGCGGCTGCTGGGGGTAAGGCTGATTAGGGTACGGCTGGCCTGGTTGTCCCTGCGGCGGCACGCCTCCTGGGGCGCCCTGGTATGGCGCTGCTGGTGGTTGGCCTTGCTGCGGGGGGTAACCGTAATATGGCTGTTGAGGCTGTTGCTGGTAAGGAGGCTGCTGGGGATATCCGCTCGGCGGTGGTCCTCCTTGTGGAGGGGCACCGTGAGGGCCCGGCTGACCGTAGTACGGCTGCTGAGAGCTCATTTGTGGGATGGCTGATGATTGGAAATCGAGCGTCGGTTGTTTCGGGTTGAAGGCACGATTGTCGCCTAGGTAGTCGTCTTGTTGGAAGCTGTGTAGCTGTGACTCTGGGTTTCCTCAGAAACGTCAAAGATCAATTACAAGACTAGCTATCGGACGGCGGCAAGTCAGCAGCCAAGGTAGGTTCTATATACCATGCGCAGAGGCCTCCTCAACCCTGGTGATCCTGATTCCGGCTGATCCCACGATGCTTTCTTGCACTGCCCCCCTCTCCCAATGGTGCTGTGCCACATGCCCCGCGCTCTAACCGTTATCGCATCACGTCACTGGGGACCGACGAAGGAGGGGCACGGGGCTGAATTGGTAGCTTTACGCCAGGTGGCCGTTCTAGTATCTCTAGCGCAGGTCAATCAAGCATTCTGCGGGTTCTTCTGCCAGTCATCGTCGAGCGTCTTCAGCCCTTTTCTCGCGTACATCAGCCAATTCCGGGCCATCGCTGCATGTGAGGATCCAGGGGAGGTGGAGAGGTGCTGCTGATTAGTGCCAGGAACGTTGCACAGCTTGAAGCTTGTCAGCCCTTCGGTCGCGCGGTGCCTCAGCAAACCGCCAGTTTGAAGCACCACATCCTGGGGCCGTCGTGTCAAGACTGCCGTTGATAGGGTCCATTTCGGAACCTTCGATTTGATGATTCTAGCCTTTCAGTTTCTTGTCGTGCGATACAGTTGAATAGTTGGTCTTCATTCAATCGCAGGGCGTGCACAATGCCAGGTTGCGGTTTCATACTCCTTCTGGCTTGGCGAGGCGTGCACAAATGTCACTTGTACAACCTCTCACCATGTAAGCCGGGTGAAGGTGAGGAAAAAAAAGACAAATTGACTGGCGGCCTCTCTGACCTTTATAGGTCAAGACAAGTGCGTCTAGCGTAAGGTATCGTCGTCCCATAAACATGTCCCTTGGTCCAAAACGCCTTTTCCCAGCCCAGAATGACGATCTTCCATCGTCTTTACATGCACAACACTGCCCGCCCTGCAAGGCAATGAGGCAACGAGGCCTCCGCCCTCCATTTGCGGTGCTGACGCTTCTTGGCGGCCCCCAAAAGATTGCACTACCGAATAGCGTGTGCGCCATCGAGACGCCCGGCGCTTAGAGCTTCGGCAACAACGGGGAGGCAGCCTCCTGGGTGCCGCCCATCGCTATGATGGCGGAAATAGAGTCGGGTTCCGACAGGTAACGCGTCATGGCCGCCGAGGAGGCCGACTGGTGCGTGTTCGTTGTGTGGCTGTCACGCCTGTGATCATGGATTAGATGGTTGGGCTCGTCTGGACACCAAGAGCCCCCAATAACTCACATGGTTAAAGCATCAAGGCTGAGGGGCGCCACGGGCAGAGCCTTGGATGCGTTTTGGGAAGGCATTTTCGCAAGTCGAAGATGTCTTTTGAAATGCAAAAAAAGTGAGCAGTGATTGTACTTGGACGAAAATCAATTTGTACGATCGATGAAGGTGATTGCTGGGAATGTGTGCCTTGTGATGGTATCAAAGGAGGAAGTGAAATCATCATCAACATCAACCAAGGCGACGGCTTTTATCGCCTACAAACGAGCTTCTGGACGGCCCTTACTCGACATGGTAAGGAATGCATAGGTAGTTTTCAAGCTCGCAGTTTAAACTCTGGCTGCAAATCTCGACGAGAAAGCCGGCCAGCGAAAGTCCACTGAGCAAAGCTCACCGGACAGCTTGGCTGGTAGAACATGAGATATTCAGCCTGCCGAGATTCCAAGGGAAAGTTCTGCATAGCGAGTTCTACGGGGGATTAGGGTTGCATATCGAGCTTTGCGCGTGGGAGATTTGCGTTTTCAGTAAAACTCCAAGCTCGCGTTCTCGGCGAAACACATCATTGCTGGTGCAGACGTGGCAGTGCTTGCTGCTCTAGCCTGCATCCCGCAGCCAAGTCTTCTGGCGCGGGTGCAACAGCCTCCCAACCTGACCGAAAGTAGAAAATGGGACAGACTCGGTGCAAGGTTCGCGGACGGCCTGCCCCTCGTGTCGGGAGCCTGATATGACCACGAGCATCCACAGGCTCGGCTTATTTACCTCGGAATTCCACCTATCTATAGTCTTCCGTGAGTGCCTTCCCACAAAGAAGGATTGCCTGCGGTCACAGGCTCACGCTACGCCCGATTTTGGGACCTTTGACCCTCAAGTTGATTGCACAAGTCATAAAATTTGTAAGTTGGTCCTTTTTCAGCCCAGGTTTCCTGTGCTTCGAGTCGATACTGACCGGTTGCCCCCGTTCAGCAACCATGGATTCTACGGGCAGCGGCACAGGCCGAGAAAATCCTGTCCCGGGTCACAAACATATCTCCTCTACCCGATCTACCGCAACAAGCTGGCGTCAGAAACTGGCCGGAAATTCCAAATATTGCTCCCTGCGCGGCCTGAAGAGAGTGTCCTCGAAATTCATCAAGCCCCTCCGGCAGCCAGTGGCCCCGAAACAACATCCTGGAGTACGAAGGCCGCGTCCCCTTCTCTACACACCACATGCTGAATCATCGTCACGCACTCAGATCATGTCGCAGTCTTCCTCTACCCGTAAGATAATGGCTTTTTTTAAGAATAACTCAGATCGGGACTCCGACCTGGGCAACAGCATAAGTGCCGGCCAAGCGACGGTTGGCAATAGCCAAAGTGACTATGGAAGGCTATCTAGTCACTTGACTTCCTCTGGAGGAACCAGTGATCCACCAACGATTGGATTTCTTTCCGAGGTGGAAGCTGATCAACTCGATACCAATGATGGCTCTGAGACTTTTGGCGTGGCCGCGGCTCAGAACGAAGCCTCCGAAAACCCACCCTTGCTGTTTTCGAGTAACTGGACGTCGCCAAAGCGAGGAGTCTTGGGATACGAAGAATATGCTAAATGGCCTCCAGAGATCACATGTAGGCAAATTGGCATTCTTCTTTGCTAGAAGATCGAATTACTAAAAGTCATTAGCGGATGTCGCTGTTCCCGACGACCTCGTCGTCGACAACACGATACCTACGAGGGCGCCTAAGACCGACCGCATCAACCACCGGTGCAACCCCATTCCATCAGGAGGCAATCACGCGGCCGAACACTCATCAGCGCCATCGTTTGCGCCGAAGAACAATGTGGCAAGGTCTGCTACAAACAGTTCAGAGGGTACAATGTCTACTACTTGGTCTAAAACACCTTCATGGGCGACATCGAAAACGTCTTCAACGGCCACTGAGATTGATTGCTGTCATAACTTTTCCGTTCGGCAAGGTCTTCGAGACACAGCCGGCGAGATCACTCAGTTGTTGTACGCATCCAAGGCCCCAGTCGACAAGGACGAGTCATCGTCCGACACGTTCGGTCGAGCCCAAGGTGGCGCTCTTTCGACAAACCATCAGCTAACTCAAGGTAGACTCAAGATCGCCTCCGATCTCTCCAGTCTACCCATACAATCGAACGAGGCCAGCGTGCCTCAGGTCTTGCCGCCTTTGACTCATTCCAACATTGCCTTGTTTGGGAGCCAATTCAAGGGCGGCGATCAAGCAACATACGCAATCCCGCAGAAAGAACAAGAGGATGAAACCATACGCAAATGTACTACTGTCACGCGCCTCGACAGGTCTCCTGTACTAGACGATAACGAGACGGTCGAGTCAACCAACGAAATCGCTACAAGTTCTTCGTCGCACAGCTTGGCACTGGGTCTTCAAATTCCAGTAAGAAGCCAAAGGCCCGGCAAGGCCCGGCAATCTCAGGCTGTTTCGGGTGGCAGAGGTCGAAGTTTGAGTGATATCAGCGAAACTCTTTCTGATGCTGGAAAGTCGAACGCAGAGACGTCGCCTCCTCTTGTCAAGTACTCAGGCTTTGAGAGCGGTGATTGGCATGGCTTCCAACCACAGCCAACGCCGGGATCTATGAGTGAGGTGGATTTTAATTGCGACGCAACCCAGAGTCCACATGATCCCATCTCCCAAACGCCAGGCACAACCCCGCCAGAGAACACTGAAACCGACCTTGACACAGAAGAAGACCTAGATGACTTCGAATCTGAAACAACAGAAGAAAGCGTCGGCTCACTGCTAAACGCGTTTAGTGCCAGCCGCCTCGAGCCTGAACTTTTGCCTCTTGTCGTCTACTTGAGAAGGCAGATTCGACAAACCCTGGCTTGGGAGCTTTCCAACTGGGACTACGCGGCTAGAAGCCGCGCAGAGCCATCAACTGACGGAAACTCATCTTCATCTGGTCATGGTCCACCTCGCAATAACAGCGCAGCGGGCGGTGAACGGGCGAGTCAGAATGCCGGAGGATCGAAAAGGCGCTGGGCCGAAAATGATGGCAATGGAGCTGGCGGTCGAGATGACGGCGGCCCAGGCAAAAAGCCTCGGTCTGCAACGATGAACGGCACGGGACCTGCAATTTTTGCGTGCCCGTTCAAGAAGAGATACCCCAACAAACGCTGGCACCGGAGCTGTGATACAGGGTGGCCAAATATGAGCCGGGTAAAGTGAGTATATATCATACCCACGGTGGATGCTCGCTCAACCGCTTATAACTTCAGGAGCCATTTATATGAGCGCCACAAGCTCGACCTCCATTGCGACCGCTGTTTTGCAAAATTCGATTCTGACGCTGAGCGAATAGAACATGCAAGGTCAAATGACCAGTGTCAGAATAAAGACAGGCCAGAATCACTTATAGGCATGAATCGTGATATGGAGCAGGCTCTACGTGATCGAACGGGCATACAGCTTGTTGCTGGCCACATACTCTGGGCGCGAGCCTGGGAAATCTTGTTCCCAGAGCAAAATCAACCGGACACGCCTTGTAAGTCCTTGCGCATGTTCTAACGCCATATCATCAGGGAGACAAATTGACAAGACTCATGTAGACTGCAAAGTGACTCGGATCAAAAGCTTGAAAGATCTCAATGCCGTCAAATGCATTATCTCAGATGGGTTCAGAAACGACTTTGAGCTCGGAGACTGCGTCGTCTATCGAAATGGTGTGCCAATTGCGTTTAGCGAAGTCAAAGAGTTGCTTGAAAAATGCTTGGCGAGGGCTCTAGATCCCCTTCTAGACCCTGAAAGAGTACTGGACGAAACGCCAAAGTCTCCGTCACTTGTAAGGTTGGAAGAATCGACGAGAACAGCCAAAACTCATGTTATGCCGCCCGCTCCTGGCTCCATAGCTTCATACGAAGCATGGAATAGCGCAGACATGCAACATGGTTCTTTTCCAATCATGGATATGAGAAACACGATGGCCTTAGAGCCTCAATATGGTTCTCCGTCTGCTCCCCGATATAATGCTGACAATGAGCTTTTCGACGCAAGGAATGCAGGAGTGGACCCAGAAACACCGGCGATGTACTTGCCAGGCGATGTCGAGATACCCGGAAACATCGATTCGTACCAAGATCCTACGTGCGACACCTGGACTGAAGACTAAGAAGAGTAGGCTGTGGTCACCAACCACACTTTTTGCGTTACTCCCAACAATGGTCGAGACATGGTGGAAGTTTCCCTGGTAAACCCGCCAGACATTCAGCACACAGCTGCAAACCTGCCTTTGAAAGTCATTCATGCCCCACGCAATCCGTTCGGGCCTGAGCTGTGTTTATCAAGATATAATGAATGGATCGCGACATTTACACACAGCACTGAGTGACAGCTCCACCTACAGAGGTTAGCTATCTAGGGGCTGAGGCATCTTGAATTACATAGAATTTTGTTGATCCGGATGACAAAGAGAATAGGAAATGATTCGACCTGGCACTGCTTTCCTCGTGAAATGTAAAGTCCGATGTTGGCGCGCTTGCTGACTGTTGCGAAAAGAGCTCATGCCCGCCATGTGGCTAAGGAAGAGTAGGACTCACAGGTACCCCCATATGGTCACCGGCTCACCAGCTGGTGACTGGGATACTACTCGCCACATTAGCTCCTTACATCAGTGAATGAAATGGACCAGGGATGCGATCACAGCCATAATAAGTGCAAGAACCATTAGTCGTGTTTGACATTTCACTTTCTGTCTCGATGGGCAAAAATAGAATTGTGTGCGTGAACTGGGAATCGAACCCAGGGCTCCCCGATGGCAACGGAGAATTTTACCACTAAACCATTCACGCTGAGATAGTTTTTGGTTCTTCCAGCTGAATAATGTTCCTGAATCCACAAGAGATAGTGCAACAAGATGTCGTTCATTAGCATCGATTGCGCATCCTAACATCAACCATCAAGTGGTCCGGTCCAGTAAACATGCGATGGTCCTTTGTTCCAGTGACACGCCTTTCAACTACGAGCCCGCGGGCGTCACACTGCAGGCGCCCAATATGACCCCACTGATTAATACCTTTCTCCTCAGCTGTGATGAGGCTGGGGACAACGGGCGAAGTCAGCAACCCTGTCAAGAGTATGTCATGATGCAGCAGATCCAGTCAGGTAGACACTTGTAACACGTGAAAGGCCTACACCTTGATTGTAGCGAGCGTGGCACCATCGGAAGGACACCTTGAAAGGCCACAAAGGTCCTGTTGGTCAGTCCCAGCCTGACGTATCTTGGCAGAGTTGGGCTGCTTCGTCAGCCGCTTCCCAAATTTGAGGCAGCCCGGTTGCCTTGTTCGGCGGTTCGCAAGGCGGAGCCCGGCAACGAACACATATAGCAGGCAACTCTCGCTCCAACCCTTGTTGCAAGGCTGATTCGATACTTCTCTTGTCTACAAGCGTGTTCCTGCCGTGGTCTGTCATGAATCATCTCTTTCAAGACGTTGTCACCCGTCTAAAACAGCTGGTACGAACCGTCATCTGTAGCAAATGGCCGAAATCATTGGGGTTGTCGCGAGTTCGTACGCCCTTGGGCAAGCTTTCGTGACTCTACGAAAGCTCAAGGCGATCCTCGAAGTTCAATAAAATCTGGAGTCAATGATCAGAGAGGCAGGAACAAAGCCATATCATTCGGCACAGATACTAACTAACAACTCAATAGGCTGCAAGGCTCGCCGAGTACGCCCAAATCTTTGAGAGTCTACCACAGAGCGACCACATCGGTCGGTTGGGCCCTGAGTTAGAGCTTGCAAGGACCAAACTCAAAAACGTTGCCGATGGTCTGGCAGCTCTCTGCGCCCGATGCTGTAAGGCTGACGGCGAGCGTTCCTCAAAGGCTAAGAAGGTGAAATGGCTTTATCTCCAGAGTGGCATGACTAAAATGCAGACGGAAGCCCACAACGCCATGGATATATTGCAGGGCTTTGTTGGCCACTGTAATGCCAGGTTGGTTTGCCCGCGAGGAGTTGCACATGCCGCACCTTCCTAACTTATTACAGCCTAGCCATTGGTTTCAGTCTAACCCTTAATCAATTGAATAAACGACACGAAGAAACGGTTTCGTTGCTGGCGCAGTTCATGACTGGGGGCACCTTGGCCAGTACGACTATTCTGCCGGAGCTCGGGGGAGATTCAAGCTTGCCCATCGATGAGACAACAGCTGCCGCTTGCTCTGGACAGCAATTCGGCCCCGCAAAAGTGCGCCTAGCGAACGAGCCGCCGGTCCGCGGTTCGAATCAGCCATCAACATCGTGGTTGAGTACCTCGACAGTATCTCCGGGGCAGATGCCTGAATTCTGCCCCAGACCCTGCAAATGCCGGTGCCACTTTAAGGGCAAGGTATACTGGGCAGATTTGAGTCCATGGCAATTTGCAAGTCGAACCCTACCTACTAGCTCTGGTTCGCCATTCTTGCGTCACGCAAGATGCGATAACTCATCCTGCCAACAGCAGTCTTGGACCAATATCGAGTGGTCCATGCGTGTCTCAGCTTGGCTATTCAAATTCGCTCCCAGTTTCCGGGCTTCATTTGGTTCTGTACGCTTCGCGCTGCGTCCTACAAGAGTGGGCATATCAGAAACCCCTCTTCTATACGCGTGTTTGAATGGAGCACCAGCTATCTCAGACATGCTCAAACAAGGGTGCTTTGTTTACTACCCTGATGACGAGACACTAGGAGAAGTTGTTTCGATTGAGGTCTGTTTTTATCACCGAGCCCACCAGAGCGCGTGAGCATTTGCGCGTTTCGAGTAGCCACGAGTCTGATCCGAGTTCTTCATAGAAGATGTTAAGCTGTTTGCTCTTAGCGCATGACGGCTTCAACTTCTTATTGACTCTATGGAATGATTATCTTCGCGCAAAGCCGCTGCCAAGGTATGTGAGAGATTCCCGCAACAGTCGACTTTGGCAAGTTCGGTGCCCTTGCCAGATTTCAACTTAATATGCTTACGAGGGTTCGCTTAGCCGTGTTGCTACGCTGGCTCGTTATCAGCTCAGTCTCGAATCAAACAGGTCGGACAACTCATGCTGCTTGTTGAATAGGGTCATTGAACTCTCGGATGATGATGTGTTGTCTGCTGGGACAGCTATCCACGAGGCCGCAAGAACAGGTGTCGGTATGCGCGAGGCGTTGTTGGGTCAAAAGCGTTATATTGATCACCTTGACGACTGCGGACAAACAGCGCTGCACCTTGCCATAGCTCGCGGTCATGTCGACGCCCTGGATTTGCTGCTGGAGGCCAAGGCAAACACCAATCTCGAGAACGTCGAGCGGGAAACGCCCCTGATGCTGGCGACTAGGCTGGGCTTGTCCAACATGTGCAGCATGCTTGTCAAGGCTGGCTGTGATGTAGACAAAGGTACGTTGCCGCCGCTTTACGGAGCTATCGCAAGCAACGAACCATCCGCGATGGATGTGATGGACACTCTTCTGCGGGCAGGGGCGAATCCTTGGCTGAATAGGCGCGGTTTCACTTCGGCGATGGATCATGTTTCCGAACTAGATCCGCGCCTCAATGACTTCAACTTGGAGAAGGCCAAACTGTTGATGGATTACGACGCCCGCCTGATATCGGAAATTTCAGACCTGGGTGGACGATTGATGCAACACTTCAACTTCAGTTGCGTCCCGCTGCTACGCTATCTGGTCAACGAAGGCGCGAGGCTACCATCGCCGCCTGACGGAACACCCTACATACTAAGGAATCTGGCATTTCGTGGGATTCTTGAGGCCTACTAGTTCTTCGAGACGTACGAGTTTATTCCTCGAGTAAATGTCATGAAGGGTCTCAAGCCGGACGGCATCTTCAAGGCCACAGTATGGGACAACTTCCTGCTCAGAGTTGATAGGCCGGGTTTTGACCATTTACGTTGGCCGCGTGACTCGGCATTCTGTAGGAGTTTCTCGCAAGTGTTTGTTCGCATGAGGAACCACGTCCTTGACGAAGACATCAAGGCCTTGCGCAGCATGGTCCAGTCTCTGGAGTCGCCTGACCCGCGCAACGCAGAGGAACAGCTATCGCATCTGCTACACGAGAAAGAAGCCTGGGGCAGATTCGACTTGGTCTCGACGTATCGGGCCATCATGATCCAGCTGCAGGAGAAGATGTGGCAGGCCGCCATTGAGTCGATCGAAGAGCACATCGAAGTTTTGATGGACGAGATGATTTCATCACCTTGGGAGCTCGAAAGTAAGGTCTGGAAGTTGTCTAAATTTCTCCACCTCCTCGAACCCGACGCCGGCAACATTGAACGCGACACGCACAACGAAAGAATGCAAGCAGCGGCTGAAGGAAGTACAAACGCGAACTTGGAAGACAGCGTTGAGGGGGCCACGGACATCGACAGTGGGTGGGACGCTGTCAGTGAGGATGACGGCGATGTAGCAGACGGGTACGACAAAGATATACGCAGTCGAACACGGAGATTGCGAAGATACGCGGCATTCCAAAGACGGCTTGCGCTGGATCAGGCGAAACTGCGGCGCAGAAATTGGCATACGGCGCAGGCAAATCCAGAGTCGGACGGCGGCTACAGCTCGTCCGGGGAAAGCGAAGAGCGGGACGAAGAGGCCGAGTCTGTGTCGTATAAGACAAGTGACGGAGAGGCCAGTGTCGATGCGATCTAGAAAGAACAGACCTGGTCGGTGTTTGCCGTTTGCGTGGCAGCAACTCTGGTGGACTGAGGGGAACTGGGGAAGAAGGCACGTACGACTCTTGAAAAACGGAGCTGGTGGGGCATATGGAAAGGCGAAGCACAGGACGAGGCAGGACCAGGACCAGGACCAGGCGGAAACCCTGACCCCATCGCGCACCAATTGTCGGCGAAATACTGACTCTCCTTCTGTCTTCATCTCCATACGCCTTCATCTCCATCCGTCTTCATCGCCATGCGCCCATGCCGTCCACCCAAGCAACAAGCAAAGCAAATCCGTAGCTCGGTCTGCATCAACACTCACCCATCTCATCAACAAGCCATCCCAAAACGATGACATGTGGGACACACAACGCAGGCCGCCCCTGCAGACCAAGTGCGGAATGATGATCCCCCATCTGCAGCTCGGGTGGGCAACCCCAGACTGACAGCTCGGCCAAGCTGCCCGCTGCAAGCCACGCCCACCGCAAAGTCCTCAAGTCCCCAGACCCGGAACACCGATTTCAGCACCATGCTCGCTTTCTTCGCCCGAATCCGTCCACACCCACCGGGCCCACCAACGGCCAATAGCGCCGGCGACAGCACGATTCGGGACACGCCTGCCGCGCCTCTGGGCGTTCGTTGGGCGTATTCTGGGGAAAACCCTGGCACCGCTGCCATGTGATGATGCCACTGGCGCGACAGGTCTTTCTGTCCCCAATCTCCTGGCCAACAATGCGGCGTCCCCGCGTGAACGGCATTAACGCCGATGGCCGATGGACCATGCATCTCATCTACGCAGCGGACCGAGACGAGTCAAGCCCCAATGGAAACGGTTCGAGCGTGCAATGGGGGAGCGTGTTTGACGAAGCGACGATGCCGTGCGATGCCGCGAAAGGAATCCACTTCATTCCATTCACCCACCTGCACTGCACCAAGGGGGGCCTTGAGTAGCGGCCCATCTTGATCGCCAAGACATCCTCTTGCAGCTTGACGCGTCTTTCTCGAGGGCCTGTGGGCGAACTGGATCCATTCGGAAGCCTCGGCCTAGCTCTCGATCTATCGCCGCCGTAGTCGTTGGGCCGTACATTAGAGCGAGCCAAGAGGCGCCTTTGTGCAGGCTTTCCTATTTTACGGTCCCCTCCCGCTTGCCACGATTTTTTTTCTCCCCCGCGACCCTCTCTACCCCACGACGACCCTCTTCGACGCAGGTACCTTGACAATCGATTGACGACGTACGACAGCGCCTTCGACACCGTCCTTCTACGCCCAAGCCCGAGCTCCCCCCACCAGCGTCAAGATGAAGACCACCGCGCCTCTCGTGGCTCTCGCCGCCGCCTCGACGGCCGCTGCCCAGAACACCACCGTCAGCTGCTCCAAGGGCGTCCACCTGCTCGTGTCGCGCGGTTCCGCCGAGGACCCCGGCCCAGGCCGTCTCGGCCCCTCGCCGACGACATTGTCGCCGCCATCCCCGACTCGGCCATCGAGTCCATCGTCTACCCGGCCACCTTCGACGACTACGGCCTCTCCGTCGCCGATGGCGCCGAGGCTCTGACCGCCGCCCTCGACCGCTACTCCGACGCCTGCCCCAACGGCAAGGTCGTCCTGCTCGGCTACTCCCAGGGCGCCCACGTCACCCTCGACGCCCTCTGCGGCCGCGAGGAGAGCACCGGTGCCTTTGCCTTCAACGAGACAACTCCCATCCCCGAGAGCATCGTCGACAAGAGCGGTATGTGCCCCTCGTGCCCAGGGAAGATCATTGGACCCCAGCTAACTTGGCCCGCAAGTCATCGCCGTCATTCTCTACGGTGACCCAACCCACATGGCCAACGCCACCTGGAACAAGGGCAACAGCACCCGCGACGGCGTACGTCCCACATCCGTTCCTTTTGACTCTTCGGATGCACAAATAACTAACCGTTGACCAGCTCTTCGGCCGCAACGACACGGCCGCCTGCGAGCCCTACGCCTCCAAGATGGCCTCGTGGTGCGACACGGGCGACGTCTACTGCGACCGCGGCAACAACACGGAGATTCACGGCGGCTACTTTGCCCTCTACGACGACGACGCCCTCGACTTTGTCGTCGACCGCTGGAACGCCACCCTCGAGGAGGAGGCCGAGGCCGCCGCCAGCGGCACCTCGGGCGCCCCCTCGCAGCCCACCGAGACGGGCGCCGCGGGGGAAAAAACCGAGTCGGGGGCAGAGGGGGGCCGCCAGCCTGAGGCCCCAGGCCTGTGGCGCCCATGGGGGGGAAAGGGGGGGGTGGGGGGAGGGGAAGTAATACACGGAGAGGGAAGAGGATTTGGTTTTTGGAAAAGGGGAAGTAAGGCAGGC